AGAGAGAGAGAGAGAGAGAGAGAGAGAGAGAGAGAGAGAGAGAGAGAGAGAGAGAGAGAGAGAGTAGCAAAGTTGAGCGTAGATAGTCGAGGTCAAGCGCAAGTGTAGGGAGTCGAAGTCGGGTGTAGAGAGTCGAAGTCGAGCTCAGTAGCGTAGCGTAGGGTCGAAGACGTGCGTAGGCAGCCGTCAGCAAAATCAGCTGTTTGGCCGCCTCCCCCCAAGAAAATTGTTACATGTGGCCGTGCTCGGCAATACGGTGGCCTGCGGTGTGCAATATTGCGCTGCTGTTGCGTGCGGCACCACGGGGCCCTCCCTGAAAAAAGTTTGTTACAACCCTAGGGACAGAGGGGGAGAGAGAGAGAGAGAGAGAGAGAGAGAGAGAGAGAGATAGAGATAGATAGATAGATAGATAGAGAGAGAGAGAGAGAGAGAGAGAGAGAGAGGGAGAGAGGGAGAGTAGCAAAGTTGAGCATAGATAGTCGAGGTCAAGCGCAAGTGTATGGAGTCGAAGTCGTGTGTAGAGAGTTGAAGTCGAGCGCAGTAGCGTAGAGTACGGTCGAAGTCGTGTGTAGGCAGCCGTCAGCAAAATCAGCTGTTTGGCCGCCTTCCCCCCAAAAAATTGTTACATGTGGCTGTGCGCGGCACTACCGTGGCCTGGGGTGTGCAATATTGCGCTGCTGCTGCGTGCGGCACCACGGGGGCCTGGGGAGTGCAAATTTGCAGCCGCCTCCCTGCAAAAAGTTTGTTACAACTCCAGGGCCTACCGGCCCAGCGTGGCACTACCGTGGCCTGGGAGTGCGAATTTGCGCTGGTGCCGCGCCTGGGAAGCGCAAATTTGCGCAGGGCCGGTAGGCCCTGGCCCGTAGTACCGCGTGCTGCACTTCCAGGGCAGGTCCTACCGGCCCAGCTTCCGGCCAGAAAATGATCAACATGCAATCTGGGCCGTACGGTAGAACGATGATGACGTTGCAGATTGCGAGTTGATGACATTGAAAACGATCAGCAGCCAATCTGGACTGTCGAGCGCCAAGGAAATGAAGGCCCCGGATTGGCTGTTGGTCACATGCTGTGAAATAGCGACTGTTATATATGTAGTCACCAGGGGCTGGTCAGTTCAATGATGCTATCTCAAGGCTGTCAGACAAAATATCCACAATCCTGCCTGACTGTCACTCACCCAGGGTCCTCGTGATGGGTAAGGCTGTCTAGGCCCGCCGTGGACCCCAGATAAGGGCTCGAGGAATCAGAGACCGCCCGAAAAGATGTCCGGCCTTCGGGGCCAAGTGTGGGATGCCCCAGCTTCCCACGTTGACAATATGAATTGAGCATAGGGTAGATGACCGTGGCAGCAGGTCAGGAAGTGTGCCATGCTGCCTCTTCAGAATAGTAAGCTTCTTCTACTGGAATGGTTGATGCCGCATCAAGTTGTGGTGTTTAGTCCTCATCGTGATTCAAGAACTTGGTTCTGGATGAACGAGAAACTTCTCCTTGTTTGCATTGCGTTGTTGCTACTGCCTTTCCCTGAACACAAGTTACCAGGGTCGTGAACGTATACAAGCTATCTTTCCCTGCGATTCTGTTCCTGCCCATGGCAACTGTTTCTTGTGCGAAAGTGGCCAAACCTCTGCATTTCTTACTTTTTGGCCAATGCTTGTTCGCCGTGTTCTCTTGATGCAGGCATGCATAGTGTGTGGTGGGCTTGGGATGCTGGCAGAGGGTACCTACTTGTGCTGCATTGACTGCGGAGAGGCTTACCATAGGTGAGATAGTGACAACTCAAGGCCTTGAAAAACTGCCTGCTGCGGCCTTGCCTCATTCATGTTCACCTTTTTTTTTTTTTTTTTTTCCCCATTTATTTCAACTCTGATTCTTAGTATGTGAATCATGTTTCTTTCGCAATTTCAATGACTGCACGGGGGTGGGCTATAGGATAAGATTTGCACAATAGGCAATCTTCACAGCGGAATAGATCTCTCTCTCTCTCTCTCTCTCTCACACACACACACACACACACACACACACACACACACACACACACACACACACACACACACACACACACACACACAGTTTGCTGCTCTTTCGGGTTCACGGAGACTCCCATGCTCAACTCTTTCGACATTGCCAAGCGTTTGTGACGTGGTCACTGGGTTTGTGATGTGGTCACTGGGTTTGTGACGTGGTCACTGGGTGATCCCAAGGATGAAAATCTCAGAGGATTCGCGTTAATCAGAGTTCCAAGTGTTTCAGCCGAACATTGATGTCCATCACTTAACGTCGGGCATCAACAGAGAATGTAAAATACATTACTTTGCCAGACATGTGCATCATCACTCATAGAGACAATGCCTGTGAGATTTCTGTGGGCTGATTTCTTTGGACTCTTTGCTCGGGGGTTGAAGTGCCATTGCTTGTGGACTTCCTGGTGCTGCATGAATGTCGTGATGTGTGGATTTTCTTTCCTAGATCCCTGGTGTCATGTGTGGATTTCGTCTCCTGGACCCCTGGTGTTGAGAGCATTGCGGCTCACCAATGTTGTATTTTGATGCTTTCTCTATCTGCAGCTTCTGTCTCGAACCACCCCTGGTGGTTAACAGCAAGATGAGAAGTTTCTGGAGATGTCCTAAGTGCAAATTGTGTGAGGTATTTGATCCTGCCTAAACCCTTAGTATGCTCTCAAAAAGGCTGTTGGGATGGGTGACATGGTTGTGCAGTACGCGGGCCCTTAGAATGCTGACCTTCGGGTGGGGCACGGAAGGGGGGGTCAGGGGGGGGCGGTCCAGGTGTGTACAGGTGGTTAACTTTCCCAGAGGGCTGGAAGGAGGTGGGGGGTGAAGGTATAGTACGGACCTGGATGGTGGAGGATGAACCTTGATCCTCATGCTCTTTGAGGGCATCTCAATTCACATCAACGGCAGTGTTGCACACGCCGACCGTCAGCGACCCCTGACTGGTCGGCTGCCGACCCGCCGACCGGTCAGCTGGTCGGCACCTACCGGTCGGGGGTCGTCGGCACCCCGCACAAAAAAAGAAATAAAAAAAAATTGTTTTTTTTTTGGGTCCAGGCGGTCGGCAGGGATGCAACCATGATCAACGGGTTGAAAAGACAGAAATCCTGAAATCAGCGGCCAGAGAAAAAGCCGGGGAACTCTGTAGAACAAAATTTGCAACGTGACTGTCATTTCATCATCCAACTTTTGTGGCACCTGAAGGTTGGCCTCTCTCAATGATTCCATTGGTCAGAAATTCAGAACATCAAGGTGCCATCAAGGTACCAGGATGGTGTAGGAATGTAGTAGATATCAGATAAAAATTTCCTCTCTCGTGAGGGTTCATCGATCAGTGAAGGGGCCAGGGGCAGGAATGTCCTGAGAAGCCCTGGGCACTGAGCCCAAGGATGCAAGTTAGGGGCTGTGTCCCCGTTCATGCTATGCTTGCGCTTAGAAAGCATGAACGTGACCGCAGAAGAGGTCAGGTTCTTCCTAGGCCCGGCCCTTAGTCAGCTGTGTGATGTGAGTTATCGTAGCCTCCTTAAAGACTTTCTGCCTTGGAGACTGGGTTATGTGTGCAAATAGTTCTTATGAGGACTGCCACCCTCGAAGTTTCTGAATTTCTGGAAGGGGCGTCCCCATTCGTGCTATGTTTGTGCTTACGAAGCATAAACCTGACCGCAGAAGAGGCCAGGTTCGTGCTAGAATAACAAAGACATAGCGTCAGTGGCGCCTGACCCTTAATCAGCTGCGTGATGTGACTTATCGTAGTCGCCTTGGACACTTTCTGCCTTGGAGATTGGGTTGTGTGCCCAAAGGGTTCTTATGAGGCCTGTCACCCTTGAAGTTCTGAATTTCTGAAAGTAATAAATTTTACATAGACGTATTTCATTCTAGGCTGGGCTGCCGCCCGGGCAGGCCGGCAGGTGTGCCCTGCCAGGTGGAGCCCGGCCGGGCGCGCCTGGGGGGGTCCACCCGGCAAACCAAGGCGATATGAAAACCCAACCGGATCTTTTCTTTTCTTCCGAAGGTGGAGTCTTTCTGCGCTCCTTCAGAGGACCCCGAATCTGCAATAAAAAAAGTAAATCTGTGGAGGTGGGAAGGGGGGTGGGGTAGGGTGGGGTGGGGGAGGAGGGGGAGGGTTTGGGGTTTGACAGGGGTGTGTTGCGACTGTTTAGCTGCCAGCTGGTATGTCAGAGGTTTGTTGCAGGTATGTATGTGGAGGAGGAAGAAGAAGAAAATGAAGAAGAAGAAGGAGAAGAAGAAGACGAAGAAGAAGAAGAAGAAGAAGAAGAAGAAGAAGAAGAAGAAGAGGGGTGGTGGGAGATGGCGAGCAGGGGGTCGCTACGGTGGAAGGGGGGAAACAATCGCTACAGGGGAAGGTGGGAAACAGGGCCCCACCCGCACCCGCCTAAGAGAAAAAAAGTAAAATAAATTAAAAAGGTGGTATATGGTGGCTGCTTGTGGAAGACAGGATGACGGCGACCACGACGGAGAAGACAAAGAAGAAGAAGAGAAGAAGAAGACAAGAGGAAGAAGAAACAGAAGAAGACAGGAGGAGGTAGAAGAAGAAGAAAAAAAAGAAGCAGAAGTTCTCTCTCTCTCTCGCTCTCTTGCTCTCGCTCCCTCTCTCTCTCTCGCTCTCTCGCTCTCTTGCTCTCGCTCCCTCTCTCTCTCTGTCTCTCTCTCTCTCTCTCTCTCTCTCTCTCTCTCTCTCTCTCTCTCTCTCTCTCT